CAATATTGTTAAACGTTTATTTCATATCACTTTGGCAAAATGTCTCTGCTTGATGTAAGGAAGAACGCTAAAATTGTCAGAAACGAAAGTAAAATTATCTGGTTTCCTCAAGTGTATTGACATGTGATCCCGAACACGATCCTGAGCTGCCATTACATCTACGTATAGGCAGCTCGTGTTTATTTTGGTCCGTGTGAGTCACTCTTCCTGCATCGTCTCCGTGGAACAGCAGGACCCCGCGCCGACTCAGTTTCCCTCAGTCACCCTCACAGTGCAGCTGTGAGGGTGACTGAGGGAACGGCGCAACATAGAGTAGTGCAACAACACTCAATATAAATATAGATCCTTTATTAATTATGTTAATTAGATAAGGTTGTATTTGGTGCCCCTACTTTTGCCATATTGTACATTATGGCCTAACTTATGACTAATTGATTAATGAAATAACATAATTTATTGACCCATGATAGAATCAATTAAACAATGTTTTGGTTTGGGTTGGAGTTGGGGTCCTAGTGGCCTGTAGCAAGAGGCCCGGTTTGGTCTTGTTCTTTCCTTTTTTAAATTGTTTCTATTCTTATTCTTGACTAGGATTTTTTGCGAACATGCTGAGACACATAATGATCCTTGTATCTGTTGGCTTTAGTTCTGGCTGTTGCCACACTTTGGACATTTCCAGGTTCCTCTTTGGAAAACACCTCCTCATTTCGATCTTTTCTGTTGAAACATTCCTCTGGTTCAGCTCTGCCTCTCCACGCCCAGAAAGAACATTCATGCAATTCATACGAATGCAATTATTTAAAACATTGTTACCTGTAAGACCTTTACATATCTGTATACATTTCTACTTTTCTCTCTGAAAATGCTGATTTAGAAAACTACATCAGTCTAAAAATACATCCAGGTGCTCTCTCTTATTTAGAGCTCTATAGAAGGTGCTCTCTCATGTACAGTTCTATAGAAGGTGCTCTCTCATGTACAACTCTGTAGAAGGCCAGATCCCGTTAGACCTCTGAAGCTGTGTGGGCCAGGGCCTGTTTAGTACTGTGATGGGAGACCTCTGAGAACACCAGGTGGGGCAGCTGCGGCTGTAAAGTGCCAAACTGTCGTTATGTCCTTAGGTAAGACACTTCACCCACATTGCCTAGAATAAGTCTGTGTGTGTGTGTGTGTGTGTGTGTGTGTGTGTGCGTGTGGTCGGAAAGGCTGATTGTATACTGGTTGCGACGCTTCTGTTAGTGTGCCCCAGGGCAATTCTGGCTAAAGTAGTAGTTTATCACACCACCGTGTATGAAGTGGACGAATTTTGAGAGTCCTGAAAGCACTATATAAAACTAATGCATTATTCAGGTTCACCGTTCTCTCTTTCATGTAGGGCTCAATAGAAGGTGCTCTCTCTCATCTACAGCTAGAAGGTGCTCTCTCTCCTGTACGGCTCTATAGAAGGTGCTCTCTCTTATCTACAGCTCTATAGAAGGTACACAGTAAAATCGCTAGAGTAAAATTTACTCAAATTGAGGAAAATTTAACTCCATTTTTGATAACATTTGGTCCCTCTCTAAAAAGAGTCAAATTAACTCTTTTTATAGAGTCGTTTAATCGGAGTAATTTCTCTTCAATTTAGAGTAAAAATTCTACTCTTTAATAGTAAAATTCACTCTCTGCAGAGAACATTTAAATTGACTCTTACTCTAGTTTTACTCTTGCGAGAGGAACTATAAATTTACTCCATGGTATTTTACTCCCTAAAAAGAGTTAACATTCCTCAATTCTGAGTAATTGTTTAATAGTACATTTCACTCTATATAGAGTAAATTTCAATTGACTCTCACTCTATTTTGTACTCTTACTTGAGGAACTATATATTTACTCCATAGTAATTTACTCCCTAAAAAGAACTCAATTTTGAGTGATAGTTTCTCCACAAGCTCCTAAAAATGTGAAATATGACAAAAAGATCAAACATTTTTTCACATACCCTTTTATTTGGCACCAAATACTTGCTCAATAGAAAATTCTCATTCCATTTGTGAACATGCACACTGTTGACACAGAAATCCAAATATTAGGGTTGATGCCTTTCTGTGATTCCGTGCAGATGATCTTGAATGCTGGTCCCAGTCTAGAAAATTAACAAGCATACGTTAATAATGAAGCCCTTCCAAAAAGTTAGAAAAAGCGAGGTGACCTTACTTTGAGAAACAGTGAGATGGTCACAGACATGTCTGGTGACGTAGAAGAAGAAGACATGTCATTGCCCCAGCCTGAAAAAGATCAAACGGAAGTCATCTACTGTGTTTGTGACACGATCCATTTTCACCAATATAAAAAAACTCACCTTCAACTTTAGAGGTGGACTCAGCTTTAATTCTTGATTGCAGACAATTGGCTAATTTTGTTGAAGTAGCATCATCAAGCATACTGTAAGTCTGAAGTCCTGCTCTATCTGTTTCATAACGAAAGACATAATGAAATGTTGATACAACATTAACAATATCAATATTTAAGGTGACTTACCAGTCCTGATATATCCAGAAATCTTGAAAACATTGTGAAGACCGAGAGATTTTTCAGGACCATATTTTGACGATAGTGACATGTCTGCTTCATCTTCTCTTTGACTATGGCTTCATCCATTGTGTGCTTCATGAGAGCAATTGCTTCACAGAATAGACTTTCTGCCAGCACAGATCAATCTTCCTCTTGTAGGTATCTCAGTTAGCATGCGGACCACCTATAGACAAATAAACATACAAATAATTTACCTTTTCCAACAGAATAACTCAACAGTCTTTAACTAACCTTTTGGTAATGGTGTCCTTTTGGGACCATAGGACACAGCCAGAAAAACGGTAATAGTGCTCCTGAAATAAAAACATAGTTTGACAACATGCCTGTGAATGACTCGGATACAAATGTTCAGAGGAGTTAAGTATCATACCAAGTTAGCTCTTTGGATCTGCCAAACAGAGATAACAAGGCAATAATTCCTCTGGCATATTCGTCTTTTACACGCCTTGAAGGACTTCTTTAAAATAATAGGTTATATTTTAGTTATGAAACAGTGAAACTTTCAAAATTAGCAATGTTTTACCATGTTCATTTGTCATATGCGCAACCAAAATGTTGACCATATCACGTCTCCTGCTGTCTGTAAGGCTTTTGAGCATAATCGCTTAAGATTCCATCTCCTCCTGGTTTGTTCTTTGGGATGCTCTCAATCTGGAAACATAAAACAAAGTGTTTACAATGGTAACGATAAAATAACTTAATCAGCTACATAGTGTGGTGCATATATATATAACCATCAAGCTCACATGTGAGAGACGAACCTCCTCAGTTCTATTGACTGAAGCAGGTCTAAACTGCTATGATCGCGTCCTCAGAGTCAACCTCGGTATCTCCACTTTGGGGAGCTCAACCCATCTGCAACATAAAGTCATAGTTGTCAAAATAAAAACCTTAATATATGAAAATACAGCATTCAATTAATTAATTATTTAAAAAACACACACCCTTTGGTGAACAAACATCTAGCACACCCAAACGCTCCTTCTTGAGGAGAAATTCAAATACTTCATCAACCTCAGTCTTCGTCTCATCATAGACTTTGAAAGTTGGAATATCCATTTATTTTGCAACTGCAAAAACAAATGTATGTTTATGATTGTTTACAAGTATCAAGGCATTTCAGAGTGGAGTACAATGTAATATTATCAAAGCATTTTACTTTATAATGCCCCTGAAGCTAAAGATAATTACATATTTCCCACTTACTACATTTTAAGAATAACGCAAAACAAAGCTGCCCTTCATAGCAGATGTACTTCTGTGGATCGCTGCACATCACTTCAGCATTCATCTAAGGAGACATATAAAACAATTTTAGTACACACATGTGGTCACTGTTGTAACAGTAATAGTGTTTATGTGGCAAACATAGCTAAAACTGCATCCAAAGTCAACTACGCTGTCTGTGACAATGCTAACAACAATGCTAACAACAATGCTAACAACAAAACTACTCAAGTTAGAGTCACCTCCATGTGCTGCGCTGTCTGTAACAATGCTAACGTGCCACCATAGCTCATTCCCAGTGTCAAATACTTGCCCATTCTAACCCATGAGAAACCATGCTAAAGCACCAAAGTAATACACGCGGTCGTCTGTCTACGCCACCGGAGCACAACAGGCGTTTTACAATAAAATGTATTCAGTGTATACAGATTGATTTGAATAAAGTAACACATACACACACTAAAAAATAGCTCAAAGAATGTGTTGCAGTGACGCAAAATTTGATTAACTAATTAACATAATTTTAACAAATTCTACATTTTGAATGTATATTAATCCATTACTAATAAACTCTGTACAACTCCAACCACATATGATTGCCAGAAGATGTAACACTATATCAGTATTTGTAACTTGTAACAGCACTAAGCTAGCAGCTTTCACAAGACACAACTGTGTTCCAAATGTACACCGCGATAACAGCATGGACTAAATGAAACTGAAAAAAGTGACAAACTTTAAATACGCATTTAGACTCACCTTGTATCCTTTTGACTATCCATGACGTAGAAAGAAATGAGTACATCCATGGTTTCCACACTCCGTCTGCTAGTGTCCAGCGATAAACTGTCATGGCGGCGGTTCAGAAACTCAAGACCTGAGTTTTGGGGGCGGGACATAGGGCGGGGCCTCATTTACTCCAATCGAGGAGATTCTGATCATCTCTGAAAAATCACTCGCACTCTAGAGGCCGCTAGAGGTTATTTTACTCTAAAATGTTTAAAAAGAACTCAATTGGAGGAAAAAAATAATGACTCTGGAAATTTTACTCAGCCGTTTTTGCTGTGTACTCTCTCTCCTGTACGGCTCTATAGAAGGTGCTCTCTCTCATCTACAGCTCTGTAGAAGGTGCTCTCTCTCCTGTACGGCTCTATAGAAGGTGCTCTCTCTCATCTACAGCTCTGTAGAAGGTGCTCTCTCTCATGTACGGCTCTATAGAAGGTGCTCTCTCTCATGTACGGCTCTGTGGAGGGCGCTCTCTGGGAGATAAATATAGCCCAACTCCGGCTCCCTCTCCATCTGGTGGTTGCCATGGGAACCCCCACCAGTATAAGAGAAGGAGAGGAAGTGTCTGTACGGGGGACGTGATGAATGCACTTCATTTTGGAGGTGTTGGTTTTCTCTGAAAAACACTGACAATAAACTAATTAAGGCTAATGTATCCTAATTTCAGGGTATTCAAAAACGCGTATTTTTAGGTTTTTAACAATGTTACCATATTGATTCCTATAGGGCTGGCCAATTATGACTTTAATTGATTTTAAAGCTGGGGTATCTCGTCTTTTTTCAAGGAAAAATATGTTTCCCAACCGAAAATAATCTTGATTTCAAGCTCTGCTATTTGACTCTTTGGGGTGAGAGCGAAGTGACTGAATGATGGTGGTCTTCTTTTTATCACTTTTCTGTTTGAAAAAGCTAAGGATGTAATAGGGGCCACAAATACATGCATGTGAAAACTAGTGATACACCAAACTGTTCTGAGAGTGAATATTATATAATTCAAATTTATTATGCTTTAATGAGAGTCGACCACTATTTGATACTACAACATCAATTATAGAGCACAGACCTTCGTCAAGAGGTGCATTCATTAAAAAATCCTGTTCAGATATTTTGATTTTATGCTTAAAATGTCCCCTTGCAAGTTTTTGAATTATTCAATTAAATTTGTTTTTGTACAATCCTATATCACAACAGCACGCATCCCGGAGGATGTCACCAACAGATCAAATATTCAAACAGTTCGAACATAGGAAATACAAGAATTACAAACACATACTGTAGGAGCCAACGGTCAATAGGCCGTAAAAAAGTCCGTAAAAGTCCTTTAATATAATGGATCATCTATGTCCTTAGACCCTCCTGCATTGGCAAAAGATCAAGTGGGAAAAAGGGAGCAACCTCAAAATTCAAGTTCAAAGACATTTTCTATTTCTCCCCAAACAGATTAAAAATATTTTACATGCAAGTTGTTTAAATTGGAGTGGATGAATCAATGTTGTAACATGGTCAAAAAATCCTTTAAAACATTGCGTGCGAATGAGAAATTGTCTCATAAAGCTAGCCATTCTTCTCTCTATAAGAATGTATACTGGCTTGAAATGCACTCACACCAAGATCAAACTGTCCCGATCAAGCAACGATTATTGTAACGTTTTATTGTGTCACATTTTTGCAGTCTTCCAAAACGGCCAGCCTCCACCTCTCCCTCCCCTCATCCGTCGCTCACTCTCTGTGGAACCCTGGTTACGACAGTGCGCAGCTGTGACTCTCATTGTCCCAAACCTCGTCACTTCTTCTCCTCGTTGCTATATTTAACTCCCTGTGACACCTCCGCCTGAAGAATCCTGCACCGTCTAACCACAAAATGCCTCCACTGCTTCCTGCTCTGGCATCACCGCTCTAAAAATAGCCATGCAGAGGAACGCCCTTGTCAAAGCGTGTGAATCTCGCAAGCGCACGTTGACATAATTCCCGTCTCATTATCAGTAAATGTGAGGGCTTTTTTTTTCTTAGCTGCGTGTGGATGTTGGGGAATGTTGCTATTTATAAGCGACTGTTTCCGTGCAAGGCGACGGGAGGAAAACCCCGAGCGAGTGGGAGGCGGAGTGGCTCACGCTGGGTCAGCTCAGGTCATTGCAGCTGCTTGGTGAGTGCTGTCTGCCTGTTGTCTCGGCGTTAGTCCTCTGGTGGTGATGGAGAAGGGACAGTCTTTGAGATGAAGCGATTCCCATACATTTCAACACAGTGTGTAGAGGAGAGGTCTAAAACAAGATTTTTTGTGTTGTAAAAATTGATATATAAAATATACAGTACATACGATCACTTAAAGAATGTTTTTTTTGTTGTCTTAATGATACTATTTTTTATTTATTTCGTCTCTAGAGATGTACCGTGTCATCATCACCCGCAACCAAACAATGGAAAAAGCGAAAGAAAATGAATGGATGGAAAAACAAGTCTAAGGTCAAAAGTATTCAAAGAAACAAAAAAATATCAGAAAAGCAGCCTGTCTCCAATGCCAATCACTTCAACCTTTTATACAAAATTATCTAGGAAAAACAGTCTGAGACTGAGACAGTCTTTTGCTAGTGTATTCAGTTATGCACTTATTTCTTTGATGTGGATCTCTGAGTGTTCCAGTCTGCTATGAGCTTTGTAGGATATTGCACATATTTTATATTTGAGAAAAAGTGATCACAAAGTATTGGAATCGGCATTCAGGCAGTGGTATGCCATAATCCTTTTGTCTATAAATATATATGTTACGGTCAAAGTTCATATAGGCCTGAGAATTGAGTCCTAGTTTTTCAGATCATCCACCCATGATCCTCTATGCTTTATCAGGCAACAGTCTGAGAGAAGACCCCCAGACTTGTCTCACCAGCCCTATCCAGCGAGTTCAGGTCTAAACCCTGGAAGAAAGAAAAATCCCAAGCCACCTCATATGCCTGCATTTGAACAGTTTCTTTCAATTTGTACATATGGAAACACGCTGCACCTCTACTGCCCATGGCCCTGCGGTCTTTCCATTATGAATGTGTCCTTATGAAAATGTGTCTGAAAATGTTTGTGTGGCTCCACGTGGGTAACCGCACTGCGCATTGATTACGTCTTGTCAACTCCTCTTTTAACACAAAACAAGCATGCAAAAACAAGCATGCTGTTGACACGGGTCACCCTCGGAAATGGTTTTACTTCTTTCTCTTAAGCTCATTGATAATTAGATTATTTCATAATAGATTGATGAACCTCACGTCCTGAGAACAGGTTTATGACAGATAATTTTATAATGACTGCTGCAAGAAATTCAATTGTGTTTACAAAGCATTCTTAATCAAACAACCCAATGCGTAACAAGTCAACTCTATGAAGATGTTCTCCAGAGACATCACTTTAGCTTTGTTTCGGTTAAATGTAAAAAAAATACCAAATTCACTAACATTTTGTAATTCAAACAACAAAACGATTAATGCAAAGAATAATCAGCCAAATAATTGATTATCAAAATAATTGTTAAATTATTTGTTAAATGAACCTATTATAAATTCAAGTCATTTTTATGAGTCATAAATTCTTGGAAACTCTTGCTGTGGAGACGTCATGAATAATGGAGGTTCCTTCCTGCTGCTCTTATAAAGCCACTCGGGCTGTTTTAGGACAGTTCACAGGACCAACACTAGACCAAGTGTCTAACAAACACTGGGCTAAGTGTGGGAAAAAAACTGGACCAAATGTGGAGCAGAATCTGGAACAAATGTGGACCAAAAACTGTACCAGAATGTAGACTCAACTGGGCCAAATGTGTCCTAATTTTTCAGATCATCTATCCATGTTCTTCTCCTCTCCAGCTCATTCAGTGGGTTCTGCTTTGACCCAAGCCTTTGGTGACGGTAGATATTATGAAGTCGCCTACACTGTCAGAGACATTAGTTTGGAGTTTAGGAAGGAGCGTATGTCCTGCTTCAACTGTCTCACCTGGACCCTGTAACTTCTCCAATTAGCCGTTATGAAGTTAAAAAGCTGTTGGCACATTCAGGTTGTTTAACTGTTTGAGAATGTTGGTTTGTTTTTGTTTTGTGAGCGTGTGTGTTTCGAGGACTGAAGAGAAAGGACAAATTCTTTCCCCTTACTTTTATGGGAAAAGTTTATTTTAGTTCAATTGATTTGTTTTATATTTCATTCATTTTTTCCCCATGTCTTTTAACATTAGTTGCCAGCCACTACCTTTTTATTATTTTTTTTTAGAGCCTTGACAGATTACATGCACCTCAACAAAATAGTTTTCAAAATCCTCCTGAAAACTCCTGATATTTACTCCAAATAAATCTATCTGTTCTCGGTCTGGTGGACCAATACATATTTTCATATTATAAAATATTTGTAGGATATTATCAGCATAAATATTAATTAAGTGAAATATATTGAACCAACATCATAGTTCAGTAATCGCTGTATCTCGATCTCAAGTAACAGTCCAGGATTAATGTTAAATAAAAAATCCCAGGATGTTTTTCTTGGTCTATGCTTAGGGTTAGAACCCTTGGGGTCATTTTTATGCAACTTTTTGTGCAACTTTCACAAAAATAGCTCAAAGACACACGCTCAGCTCTGCTGAAAATGTACGAAACCTCAATCCTGGCTCAGGAGGAGTGGGCCAAACTTCCACCAACAACATGTGGAAGGCTATTCAAAACCCAAGTGTAATAGTTAAAAGGTACAGTATTTAATAATTTGTAGCAATTATTAAGCTTCTGTATGTTAACCTTGTGGTTCAGTGATGTATTGAGTTCCAATAATGTATTGATCCACCTTAACTAGTTTTACTTGTATTCATTATCCATAAGGCAATAAATATTGTATTATTAAAGGAGCTATACCCGTTTCTTCAAAGTTTGAATGTTTAGCACCGCCCTTAACTCGCTCACAGGCTTCTCATTTCCCCTACGCTCTCATTCCACGGAGCCATCTAGTTTTATTTGCGATCCATATGCTAACATTAGCATGAGCGCAACTTCTTGTAAGCTATACAATAATCACTGATGAAATGGTACAAAAGCAACGCACTGCTAACAAAATATATTTCTGAAAGATTACCGCTAGTTCCACGTCCAAATGTAGTCCGAGCATATATAGTCCGAGGCGGTCCCGCAGGTCTCTCCCATAGACAAGTCTCTCCAGAGGATACAATGTAAGCAAGCTATGTTCACCCGGGCTTGATTTATTCTTTGATCATTATTTTGCTTTAGTTCCCTCTTCTCTTCCTCACTGTTGTGTCGTTTGGGCTGTTTGCTGTTGCTTGCAGCTACAGCAAGAGGAGTTATAGCCAATTCTGCTAACATGCTACTGTTTTTAGCAGCTCTGTAGAGGCTAGAGGACGCCGCCTGCTCGTAACAGCGCCGCTCCTTGTTCTGTGAGTGGAGAGCGAGCGTCACGCTAATGGTGCATTCAGACCGCAAACGCTCAAACACTGAAGCCCCGCTCACCAGACGCGCGTTCTCTAGTTTCCAGACGCAGAGGACTTCACACCAGAACGTCTTGACTCGAGCCGGGGGTACCGGAAGTAGCCGGCCGGCTCTGATGCTAACAGAGCTATGCTAGCGGCTTCTTGTGTACAGATCTTCTCTTTGCAGCGTGTCTTTGCCCACAGACATTCCACGGGCTTTACAGTATATAACAGTAGTATGTGTTCACGGAGGTGCGCCATACGCGTTTTCATATTATTCAACGGTATTTCAGTTGCAACGCGCATCACCACAGACTTTGCATTGAAACCCGACGCAATGCATGATCCGGTCTGAACGCGCCATAAGTCTCTACTCAGCACTTTTTACGGCCTGAATTCATACACAAGCTGAATCAATGAGCTCAAGTTTTCAATTAAATTACGGATTATAATACAACTTGTATGTAGTAATAAGCATTTTTATTAACTCAATAAAAATATAATTGGGTATAGCATCTTTAAGGTGTAGCCTACTGGTTCCATCTGTAGTTCGACAATCCATTTTTTTACATTGGTTTATAAGTGCACTTCAATTATTTCTTGTTTAAGTAGGACAAACATAAAGAGGCATGTTTATTAGACATATGTACTCCCACTTTCCGGCTTGGGAAATTGGTGGAGGGTAGTTGATTGCCCCCGCCCTCCCCCAGGTTACGGGGGCCCCTAAGCAGCTGCTTTCTTTTGCCTAATGTTAGCAGCGCCTCTGGGTATATTTTTTCCCTCTGCTGCTCAAATGAAGGCTGACTGTGCAGTGTTTTTATAGACATATGGAGAGAGCAAAAGTGTGGCTCATTAAAAACCTGTCAGAGCCACTGCTGCCGAACGCTCCAGTCTAGTGCTGTTTCTTCTACTCACACTTCCGACCGCTCCAACATCCTCTCGTTGAATTTTATGCCAGTCTGTGAGTGTTTTAGTCCCAAGTTTTCACTACTATGGAATCAATATAGAGGAGTTGTGATCACATAAAGTACAATGTAAAGCAAATGTCCAGCATAACTACAAACATAAGAAATATTATACAAAATACTCTTTTCTTTTCTTATCTTCTTTCTTTTTTTTTTTACCGCGTTACAATATTGTTACTCACCAAAAATATCCACAGTTGTTTTTAACTCCGTCCACCATGCTAATAGGGCGGCACGGTGGCTGAGTGGATTGCACTCTCGCCTCTCAACAAAAAGGTATGGTTTCGAATCCCGGTCAGAACGGGATCTTTCTGAGTGGAGTCTGCATGTTCTCTCTGTGCTTGCGTAGGTTTTCTCCGGGTACTCTGGTTTCCCCTACCACTACAAACATGCACACTTGGTTAAATCCTCTAGCTCCAAGCTGTGCATCAACATCTAGAGATGGCTTCCTGGGCACTGTACTACGGCGACCACTGCTCGGGTCAAATGCAGGGGATTGAATTGCCCTATGGGGACCTTTTACCTTTATCTTTAATACCATGAACTTCTGGCACAAACATGTCTCCCTGCTCCTTTCTCGAATGTTCTTATTCTATTATGTCATGTTTAAAACCCTTTTCTGCATTTTAAAATATAGGTGTTGCTCGTAAATCAGTTTTTTAGGTGAAATTACGTTTTATGCAATGTTTTATATTGAAAAACATTTTGGTAGAAATACCTGTTGACCTTGTTATTATTCCATATATTTTCCACTAAATAAATGATTTTACATTCTAAAACTTAGGCCACAGTAAATAGTATCATTACCACATTTAAGAGCCTGTTGTTGAGCCTGTATACATGTTGTATAATATTTATGATTTATTTAATGCCAGAATATCCAAACTCCAGTGATATATTCTGACAGTCAATTTCACCAATCATAAAGTCTTTTTAGATTGTTATTTTTATTTTTTGAGTGTTTCATGTACAACAAGAACAATACTATTCTTTCTCCGGTATTTAAAACAAAATGTTAAAAGCCATTCACAGTTATGATAATCATGTATAACAAAAAAAGAATATGTGAACCATAAGAGGATCGATCAACGATTTCCACCTTCCAGTCTTGCCATGTTTGCTGTGCCGCAGTATTGGTATGACCGATGAACGGTTGCTCATCTGAATGCATTGGTGCAGTGTTGTCAGAGGTGTGCATGTGGGTGCTCACTCACAACTGTTATGATTGGCACCATCCATTCCCAGAAAATGTTTAGGCTGTCGGCGATACAAGAATTTAGAGCTGAGAGCATGGCCTGGGTTTGTAGTAAGTGGGAGATATTGCACTGCATCCGTCTTGATAAAAGCAGGAAAATTCCGTTGCCGTGTCAGCTCCAAGTTTTTAAATTTGGCAAAGTGTGAGTCCTCATAAAGCCAACTGAAGTGGCTAAGTAGAACGTATGAAAATGTATCTTGATAAAAGTCTCTGTTGTTGGGGAGAATTGTGTCTGAATGCATCTGGAGACACTGCAGAAACCTCCCCAAAGCAGCTCTGAGATTCCACACCTCACTTTGGATTTCTTTGTGGTGTTAACTTTAGGTGCATGGATTGAGGAGAAACGTCCAATATTATACAATGTGTCCAACTACAAAAGAGCCACCAACAATACATGTAAAGAGTGGTTATTTTGTTTTCTGGGAGCTGTTTATGCTTGCACATATAGGAGTGCACCAATATATCCATTTGGCAATATATATATATACTGGATTTTTTGTTACCTAGTTCTGGGTCTACTAAAAAAGAATATCCAAAAGTCATATTCAATTAAAACTGCCTTGTCAAAGTAATCTTTTGTCAGGGGCCAAATTGAAAAAATATATAGTTTCTTTGGGCGACAACTTGTTTCCATGGTATCCATGGAAGGTATCCATTTCTGCATCTGTGCTTATTCTATAATTATATTTAATGTTATAATTATCATTATATTGTATATTTCTTGGTAGATATTTTTCTTAACAAAATTAGTTCAGTTATGTTAGGACTGCGTATTCATATGTTTATCTTTAACTAAACAATAACTGATTATTTAAGTTCAATATTTAGAATACAATGGATGATGTGATTGTTTTTTTCAGAACATTATCTTTAAAATGATGTTCCACATGCCATGGCAGGAATAACAAGCTCTTGTGATCAATGTTGGAAGTTAATATACGCAATATAAAATGAATTTAGAGAATTTAGAGTAGTTGTCGTCAGGAGCCACAAAAAGCTTTTTTTAGGGCCGCATTTGGCCCGTGACCGTGGGCCGTGTCTTTGACATGCCTGTATTAAAGTAACTCATGCAAAAGGTGAAGAATAAACAAAACTTCCTCTAAAATGTTCGTAGTGTCCATGTTTTGAGATTAGGGATCCTTTATATGTGTCACAGTGGAGAAATGCTGTTGTTAAAGACACTAGAAAAATATTTGGTATAATATATGATCATAATGTGATATTGTCAATATTGTGAGCCGTGTATCATGAATCCATGTAGGATCCACAGCCCTCTGTTTCTAACCTAAATCGTATCATTCTGAAAACCTTTATTCAACCACATTTTTCCTTTTTGTGTGTTTTCCAGATGTCTCCAGAAGGACGCCAGCATACAGCCAGTGGAAGGGCTCAGATGAGGGCCGTGAGCATGGCCTGAGGTGCTCTGAAGAAATGATGCTAGTTTACGTGACCCATGGCAGCTACGGCGGAAGCCTGACCATGCCTCCTTTGCTCCTTCATCCCGTGGGCTCAGAACTGTGGAAAAGGTCGCTGCGTTCCACATGTTGACTTTTGCAACAGACCTCTTTGCCATGCAGTTGTCTCCATGAGGTTAAAGAGGTCGTTGTAGTGCGTGTGAGGCTCCTCCCACTTTATGGAGGCGGATCCTGAGGGCGAGTGCTCTGAGCAACAGCAGAAAAATGTGACAGAATCATCTATTGCCCCTGATCCCAGTGCTTCCGGCCCACATCCGGCTCACCGGTCTAGGGGGCGACTGCAGCATCGTTCCCCCAGATCTCCAGGCCTCCTCCTGCGCTTCCAGCAACAGCAGGCAATAGCATGGCAGCCCTCAGAATCAGCCGGGACCTCGGGCGGCAGCTTCCTCTCACCCTCATCTCCTTCATCTTTCCAGCCGTCAACTTCCTCAACCCGAGGGAACCAGGGGCACGTGGTACAAGCTCAGAGCAGCCAAGACCCCGGGGAGAGGCCAAGTTCCCCAAAACGCGGAGAGAGGAAGCCCCAGAAACCCGGCAAGTATGTGTGCTCCTACTGCGGCCGACCATGTGCCAAACCCAGCGTCCTCCAGAAGCACATCCGCTCCCACACAGGAGAGCGGCCTTACCCCTGCGACCCCTGCGGCTTCTCCTTCAAGACCAAAAGCAATCTGTACAAGCACCGCAAGTCCCACGCCCACCGTATCAAAGCCGGCCTGATGTCGTGTCGCGAGGAGCTCAGTCGGACACTGGAGGGAGTGGGAGAAGAACATGAGGAGCCCACTGAAGGAGACAGCACCGAGTCTGAAGAGGAGACGGGCAACAGGAAAACAAAGGACCCATCCCATCAGAGGAAAGAGGAGAGCCAAAGAGTGGAGGATTCACATGCCATCAAACAGAGGCTGGCTCTCAGACTGAGCGAGCGCAAGCGGGGTCTCAAGACTTCCTCAGACGACCTGCCATCTTCCTCCCTCTCCACATCCTCGTCTTCTTTAGGGCCCGGTAGCAAAGGCAGTACAGAATCTGGCTACTTCTCTGGGTCAGGGTCAGGAAGCACTGACCTGTCACAAATGAGCCCTCCTACTGCCAGTGCCAAATCCTATGCCGAGATAATTTTAGGGAAATATGGGAGATTAGGTGGCCAGCAGCGAGGTGGTCATCAGCAACAGCCTCAGTCTTTGGCTGCGGCTGAAGAGAAAAGCATTACCTTCACTGTTCCAAAAACACAAGTTATTGATCACATCACCAAACTCATTACGATTAATGAAGCAGTGGTCGATACAAGTGAAATCGACAGCGTCAAACCTCGGCGCTCATCACTTTCCCGTAAAAGCAGCACAGAGTCACCCAAAACCAGCTCTTCTAAAGACCCCTACACATTCGACCCTAAATCTGAAAGCCTGGAACCGGTTTCCTCTGTGCCTCTGCTTAGAAGTCACTCACTGCCATCCTCCAGCACCCAAGAGGTCACCTCATCCTCCCCCAGACCAATGTCTCCCGGAACATTCCGTCTTTGCCAATCGTTCGACGAGCAACAAGCAGCAGCTGCAGAAATGAGAGTTGGTCATGTCCAGCGCATGCTAAGACGTCAACCAGCCATAGAAGTACCGCTAGGATCTGAAGTGTTAGAAGATGTACGTCATTCTTCCTCAGCAAAAAGTGGAGAAAGAAAGCGACAACAAAAGCAACAGCTGCAAAAGAGCCCGTGTTTGCTCGAGTGTGAGGCTTGCGGATGTCTTTTCCAGCACAGTGAAGGCTGTGACTCCCACGTGAGTTTGTGTTCTGCGCATAAGTTGCAGCCAGAGCCAGAGGTTGAAGACAAGCTTCCATCCGATCCCCAAGTCATGATGCAGTACAAGTTACCAGCACTGACAGTGACTGTAAGAAAGAGGAGGAAAGAGGAGAGTCTAGAGGAAGATCCATCCAGCCCCACAACTCGCACTGCAGCTGAAGAGGGCAGCAATTCTCAATCAGGTCAATATGTAACTTGTTCTATATGTACTAGAAATAAACAATTTAACAAGATACAATTCACAACGATACAACATGTCTGCCCACCTCGCAGTCTAAGTAAAAACCCTTTTTGGGATTTTGCCCAATATGGCATTCTGTAAAACGGGTGCCGAACTATTTCTGACCCAAGGTCTACTTTTTAATTAGCAAATCTCCAAAGGTCTACCAGTCCAGCGTCAACATAAAAACCCCAGTTACAGCCGTTACAAACAACTTCTTCACACAACCATTAGACATCCGATTACTAACATTCTGTTTTGATTTTTAACTCTTTGCTCCTCACAATCTTACACCAAGACAAACACACAATCTGTATTTTGAGCAATAGCTAACTAACTGACCATATTATGAACCAAGCAGAAACATGAACCAGTTCAAAACCAGGTAATAGAAATGTTTTGCCTGTAACTACAGTTCTATGAATCAGACATCCAAAAGCAGTGTACTACTGAATATTCAAACATAAAGCCCCTGCTCTGGTGGTCAGGAGTAAATAAATAGAACTGACAAAAGGAAGATCTCTTCCTACCTTAGTGAGAGACTTGGCACTGGGAGGAGGCTAGTTTCTCATTGTCCGGAGTTTAGAGGTCGTTAGCCAGATTGGAGCGGGTTGGAGCTGTTAAATTGCTGCTAAACGATGGCTGAGGGGAAACAAGCCAAAACTTATCATTTTCATCCTCAAAGCCTATTTGTCTGATCTGCAATGCTACAGTGGCATTGGCAAAGAAAGCGAACCTGGAGCGTCATTTTTGAACGGTATGCGCAAGCTATGAGAGGGATTTCGTATAGAAAGCTGGCCTTTCTAATCCCTCACTTTGGTGGCGCGCAGTGCCATTTTTTGCGGGGAAATTCCTCTCATATCTTTTGTGTACCATTCGAAAATGACGCTCCAGGTTCACTTTCTTTGCCAATGCCACCGTCGCATTGCAGATCAGACAAATAGGCTTTGAATGAGAAAAAACAAAAAAATATTCTTCCTCCCATTAAGGATGAAAATGTTAAGTTTTGGCTAGTTTCCCCTCAGCCATGCTAAAGTTTAGCAGCGATTAAACAGCTCTGACCCGCTCCGATCTGGCTGGCCATAACAGATCCATGGCTAGCCGCAAACTAGCCGCTGCTGTTAAGGCGTGTTTACCTGCTGCCGTAGGTTAAACCTGACCTACTTTATTATTGAAAATGTTTTTCTTCTGATTGCTGTAGTATACATATAAATACACACACACACACTCACATACTCGCCATATTCGTAATCATATTTATGATAATAAAAAATATTTATCTAAATATTCTCCTATAACTTACAGTACAGACCAAAATTTTGGACACACTTTCCCATTCAATGAGTTTTCTTTCTCTTCATGACTATTGACTGTAGATTCACACCCTGGCTGTGTAAGGGCTATTTGACCAAGAAGGCCAGATGACCTGGCCTCCGCGGTCACCGGACCTGAACCCAATCCAGATGGTTTTGGGGTGAGCTGGACCATAGAGTGAAGCCAAAAGGGCCAACAAGTGCTAAGCATCTCTGGGAACTCCTTCAAGACTGTTGGAAGACCATTTCAGGTCACTACCTCTTGAAGCTCATCAAGAGAATGCCAAGAGTGTGCGAAGCAGTAATCAGAGCAAAAGGTGCTACTTTGAAGAACTGAGAATATAAGACATATTTTCAGTTGTTTCATACTTTTTTTAGTACGTCCATAATTCCACATTTGTTAATTCATAGTTTTAAAGCCTTCATTGTGAATCTACAATTTTCATAATCATGAAAATAAAAAAAATTGAAACTTTGAATGAGAAAGTGTGTCCAAACTTATGGTCTGTACTGTATTGTAAATGTTTTGTGTCAGTGCTATTGTCCCTTCTGATGATTGATGTGTTCCCAGGTGTTCAATCAGAGCCAATACAGCAGCAGCAGGACAGACAGGGTGTTTCAGTCATTCAGCACACCAGCTCATTTGAGAAGCAGGAGAGCATGTCCATGGAGAGCCACGAGTCTGACGTCAGAGAGACTGAGCCAGAGCCAAAACCGTCGCCTTCCACCAGCCGCCTCATCCGCCAGCCCAACATCCAAGTGCCAGAGATCCTTGTCACACTGGAGCCTGACACCGACATGCCTCCAGTGTCCCCGACAGTGACAGTGCCCTTACCTAAGGTTTGTTATAGTATGAGAGCCTTTACGTTTGTCATGCTTGTAATAATAATAAAAATATTATTATTTCTATTGTAGGAGGTGGAGCGAGTGGAGGAGTTCCAGTGGCCTCAAAGAAGCCAGAGTTTAGCTCAGCTTCCTGCAGAGAAGTTGCCACCCAAGAAAAAGAGACTGCGTTTGGCTGAAGCCGCACAATCCTCAGGGGAGTCCAGCTTTGAGTCCATGTCTGTGTCTCGAAGCCCCAGTCAGGAGAGCAATCTCTCCCTCTCCTCCAGTGTCTCCGTGTCACTGGACGAGTCAATCCGACCAGAGGCAGTTGTCTGGGCCGCTGGCAGCCAAAGCTCCCAGATGTTAATGGTGCCATCCGCCTCCCATCAGTTCCACCAGAGCCACAAGGAGATGAGACGCTCTGCATCTGAGCAGACGACCACCACTCACCAACAGCCTCAGCAGATACCAGAAAATAGGAGCAAGTCTTTTGACTATGGCTCTTTATCTTCTCAACAGCCAACGACCTCCTGGAAGGAGCGTCGCAAATGTCTTCTGGTGAAACATGCCACATTAGGAGACCCAGAGGAGGAGCACAGAGCAGACAGTCCACGACCTGGGCCGTCACATGTAATCCACCACCCTCTTTTACCCACTGAAGAATGGCTCTCTCAGGAAGAATCACGACAAGCGGACCCATTGTCTTTGATTCCCAGAGATCAACAGACATCTGCTGGATCTCTCAGTAATGTGTACCCTGTCCCCACTGAAGTCCTTCAGCGAGCCTTCTATGATCTACACGGAACTCCGTTTGAGACACCGCTTCACGATATACTCCCATTGCAGTTCTCCAGTCACTGTCCATCGCTGTATTCCCCTTTTTCCTCTAGGCCTTTGCCTCATGCATGCACTCCACCTATCATATCTGCTCCATATCACAACATGCGGCCCATTATTGCCACATGTCTGGCTCAGTTGACACCGGCCGTTTCTTTAGTTGTCCCGGTGCGACTGGAGACTCACATACCAACATATGCTAGTGCCATGTACACAACTCTCTCCCGAATCCTGGCCTCTGCACTCTCCCCTGAGCCTATCTGCACCACTATGGTCGTTATGAGCCAGCTGGACCAAAGCAAGTCTTACCTTACAGTTCCCGCTCTCAAAATGAAAACTCCCATTTCTCTGATGCCCTCTTTAGCTTCAATTGACGATGAGGCTTGGGGTCCCCTGGGGGTCGGAGGAAGTAAACGCATGCTTTCACCAGCAGCCAGTCTGGAGCTGAGCACAGAGGCCCAGAGACAGCAGAAAAGGGTGAAAGAGGAGGAGGAGGGCGAGCAGGGTAGCACAGCAGTGCGGACCAGACAGGAAAGAGATAGTGTTCCAGAAGAAGAGGATACTAGGACCAGGCTGAGCCATGAAAAGAACCAACAACAAAATACAGGAGACAAAAGCCTGAAGGAGGTGAAGAAGCAAGAGGAAACTCCGCCAACCCAAAACACAGAGGTTATTAAAAAGAAGGAAGTGGTCCGGTCAGTCTCGCCATCTTATCCCAGTCTACACACCTCCACGTCAGTGAATTGGTGCTACCTAAACTACACCAAGCCAACCCCATCTACACAGAGGGACCCCCAGACATCAGTATACACATCTTGGAGCGTGAGTCCCCATAATCCAAACCTCCCTGGCTTTAACACCAAGACGGCCATGTCGCTGCTATGCTCCAAACAACGGCACAGCGTGGAGACCTATACCATGGCCACAGCGAGTCGACCCAAAGAGGGGAGGGAGCTCCAAGAGACACAGGTGAGGAGTGTCAAGAGAGGGCAACATTCATGTTAGCATCAGCCAGAGGTGTGGACTCGAGTCATGTGACTTGGACTCGAGTCAGACTCGAGTCATGATTTTGATGACTTTAGACTCGACTTGACCAAATATAAAAAGACTTGCAACTCGACTTGGACTTTAACATCAATGACTCTGACTTTCACTTGGACTTGCGCCAATTGACTTGTAAAGACTTGCGTAACCCGGGCCATTTTTACCTTTCTCCGCATCTCTTTCTATCTATGCCGTCTCTGAAGAAACAAAGCCTCGCGGTAGTTGTAGCGCTCGCGAGAGAGTTCGAACGTGAATTCCCCGCGGTTCGCGCAACAACACTTCCCTAAACAAGCGCAATGCATTCACCAGTGGGTGTGTTGTCGTAGGGGAGCTGGAAATGAGCGAGCTGCAGGTATTTATCGCGACCTAACGTCATACTTTGTTCTACAAACCGTAATTGATATGCTTTCACTACAGGCGCCTCATACAATTGAATCGACGCAGTTGTCACACTGTGTGCCGTGTTTTAAAGAGAAACTGGTGAGTCAAACTAGCGCTAGCCTGCGCTGCTCTGTTGGCTCTTTCTTATATTTTTCTGTGTGGGCGCCGAGGCCTATTATTATGAGTATGTTTTTGCTGTGCTCCTCCTGCTAAAGTTTGCATACATTAGATAGTTGTTTTGATTATGTGCACTAAGCTAGATTAATATTTGCACTATTGTTTATGGTGCATTGATATGAGAATCAGTGCTTTGACTGATTGAATTAATTTATATGAGAAATTTTATTATGTAATGATATATTGATAATTATGAGATATTACTAATGCTGGTCCAGTTCATACAGGCCAGGTTCCTTCCCCTCCATTGGTCATTGGTCCCTTCAGTCCTTTGCCCCCCCCCCTTTTTTTTTTGATGGCGAGCTGCCCAGGTCCAAAGCCTAGACCCCTCATACTACCCCTATCCTACAGTAGGACATTTGAAACAATAACCACTACGGACATTAAACTGATTATATAGATACAGGTCCTAGCCCAATACTCATATACATATATGCTGCACTTGCTACTTCCCATTAAAGACCCCAAAGATAAAAAGTATGTTGACACGGACTGCTCTGATTTTATGTGTGGTCTGTGCATGTGTAACTGAGCCTGCATCTGGCACAACATCCAATTAGATCACGTAGATAGTTATGATTTACCAGCAGCCAACGACATGGAAAAACTGTTAGTCCATGGGTCAGAGACCAACGAGAATGCACCGGCAAAATGATTCCTAACATTATTTTGTTTGCCTACAAAAGTACGTGGAGACCAACAAGAAACAAATCGCGGTCAAAAAGACTCGAGAGGACTCGAAAGTCAAACCGTAGGACTTGGGACTGACTTGAGATTTGTTGGCCTTTGACTTGGACTCGACTCGGGACTTGCCTGTCTTGACTCGTGACTTGACTCGGGACTTGAGGGCAATGAATTGAGACTGACTTGTGACTTGCTAAACAATGACTTTGTCCCACCTCTGGCATCAGCTGTTTCTCACCTCAACATGGAAGATACTGTATTAGTTAAAAAATTCCAAACACCACACAGACACATAAGCAGCAGCCTGGTAACCTGGTTTACACACACATATCACCTGAATTATTTATCTGTGCAGGTGCAGATAACTCCACCCCCTGACAGCCCAGCAGTTCCAGCTCTTTCAGAGGAGGTGCTGGAACATGAACAGAACACCCAGAAAACAAAACGACACGAAGACGCCACAACATCTAGGTCCAGAGAGTCCTCCTGTGTTCGCAGTATTGAAGGCGGGTAAGAAAAAACAGTACTCTTTAACTTATATTTTATGTCCAGTAAAGCACATATGTTTTGGAAAATCCACCTTTAAAGCTTTTAATTATGTTACAACATTAAAGATGTTTTGTTCTTCTATACCAGACAATAAAGATAGCGATGTTGTCAACATGTCTAGACGGTGTACTAGTATTCTTGGGTTTCATATGTCGTCAGGGCAGTGGCGCGAATAACAAACGTAGGACAGGACGTGACGTATCCTGGCGGTGCAGTCTGCCGGGTATGTACACGTAGAAGAAAAAGCGCTGTCAAAATGCCATATTTTTGTGCGGTGTATGCTTGTAGCAACCGCGCAGATAGAGAGAAAGACAAGAGTTTCTTTTGTGTTCCAACTGTGGTTTCATATAAAGGACTTCACTTTGAAGAGACCCGTGTGGCCCCTGCAGGCCACCCGAATGAAATGCAGCAAAAACAAAAAAATCAAAACATTCCGAAATCAAGACTCTTTTGAGAAATATTTATTAGTGCTCCCTTCAAATTGAGTGTCCCCTTCCCGATTAAGACTGTTACAACAGCCGTACACCGCACAGGATGACTTCAAAACAGACACGATTTACATGGTTTTCAATGGGTATCTGTTCATTTTCTCTTCTACTATAAAAGACAATATGAACTTTCCTAAATAATACAACGTTGTTTGTCACCAAAAACAGACCCGGAGTTGTTATTAGATCCTTTCACGCTGATATCAGGAATTGTAACAGCATGGTATCATTGTACCGTTGTGACATCTTACTCAGAGCCGTGTTCTGCCTTACGAAAATTATTTTTCATGAATTTGTTTTTGGTCATTATAAATTAGATGTTTTGTAAATGGTGTTTACAGCTGATAATTTTCAAATGTTGAGAAAATTAACACACGTTTTACCTCTCCCTCTGGTGGTAACATAGGGGATTACAGCAAAAGCAAACAAATCAGCCCACAACATGTTGTCTGTATCTTCTATATTGCAAAAATGAGCCATGTAAGTAAACATTAAGTAATAATAAAAATAACAACAGCATTTTAGTTAATTTCACTTTTTGGACACTCAAAGGCATTTCACGTGGCAGTATATGCTCACACAGTGGTGATTGAGGGTGGTCCTCACTGTTAACTTTTCTGTCTGAAAAAGCTCATCTAAGGATGTGACAGGGGCCAAAAAGACATGCATGTGAAATCTAGTGATAATTCCAAACTGTTATAAGAAATCTATGACACTCTTGTGAGTATTGTTATCTCCCGGGGTCACGTCTGCTCTGAGGGACATGGCCCCTATGATATGCTCCTGACAGACATACTTAGTACTGCAGCTGATTTACTGCCTGAAGTGGAGAAAACCATCAGAGTTTGTCTTTCTGAGGTGGAGGGGTATTTTTAGCAGTGTCAGGCCTGAAGGTTGTGGGTTCAATTCCCACCTCTACACCTTCTCCACCGACTCCCACTGATGACTGCTGTCGTGTCCTTGGGCAAGACACTTGACCCCACTTTGCCCAAAGCCCCCACTGAAAGATCATGGCTATGCTCACACTCAGAGAGCAGCCGTTCTCCTGTGGACTCACCACCTGCAGAGGGTCAGTGAGGGGCTGGTGCTATGAGACTTGGGTGGCATCTCTGATTGCCACCCCCCTGACCCAGAAATGGATTAAAGGGTAGAAAATGGATGGAAAATGGATGGATGGATATTACAAGAAGGCAGCATGCTTCTGTCTGTTGAAACCACTCATATATATATATATTATATATATATATATATATATATATATATATATATATATATATATATATATATATATATATATATATATATATATATATATATATATCCAGCAGTTGGTGGGTCCACGGGAAGATGGCTGCCTTGGTGTTTCATAGGGGGCTTCAGGCAAAGTGGGGTCAAGTGTCTTGCCCAGGGACACAATAGCCATAAACATCAGTGTCTTAAGCCACTCTGTGTAATTTCTTCAGTTGCTCCAAATTAAAAAATATGTTTACCAATAACAAATCTTTTAAAGAATATTTATCTCCACCATGTTTTTGAATTGTTATCATAGACTTAGAATTTGAATTATAAATGTACATGAGAGCTGGACTGCTCTCCATGCAGTGGGGGCGGGTCCCGGCTCAAAAGTGGCCAAAATGACGTGCGCTGACATGCTTGCAATACCACCTCGGGCCGATGGGGGTGGACCCAGAAGTAGATGTGACATCCGTCTTTACAGGATGGTCCAAAAGCTGGCTCTTGGCCCAAAGCTCCATTCCACATGTGTGTCAATGCTGAGGGGGGTGAATTTTTTTGGACCACTCTAGTTTACTCGCTGTGAATTTCTGAAGTCTCTCGTTGAAATGAATGGAGCTTTCGCCAGCTGACGCATGCGCAGATGCGTTTTTTCACAATTTTCTTGTGGGCGGGACCACCCGCTGCCATTTTGGATAGCTGCAGTAGAGCAAATTTTTTGGCCCATTAGTTAGAACGGCAGAGATAGGCGTGACTCTGTCCATTATATACAGTCTATGTCTCCAGGTCAATGCGCCATCTTGAAATACTTTGGTTGATAAGGGACAAAAAGGATGCAAGAATCGAATTTTTTCTTTCACAGGTGCTACTATACTTTCACCGACTTCACCGCCCTCACAAGTTTGAAGAAGGGATCATGAAGGACCACAGTTAAAGTGGACATATCGTGTTTTCAAATAATTGATTTTTACATCTAAATCATTAATTTGTGGCCTATATAAAGCGTAACTGCAATGCCTGGGTCTGAGTCTCATTATTTGTAGCTCCACGGGCCTTTCTTCTACACCTGTTCTGAGGTGCGTCTGAGAGCAACCTGTTTTGGTGCTGTCTCTTTAAATGCAAATGAGGCGCTTTTGACCACCCCCCCATCCAGGTGACACAGGTTCAACTCCACCCCGAGCGGCCATTTTTGTAGTTTCTAAGCACAGATACAATTATCTCATAGAAACATGAAGCAGTCCTTCCTCATTGACTGAAAGCAAATGTTAATTTTCATTCTTAGTCCAGTCTTATTATCGACTCTTCTCTTTTTAGCTTTGGGATCCATGCGCACAGTCAAGGCAAGGAAAGGCAAGTTTATTTATATAGCACAATTCATACACAAGGCAATTCAAAGTGCTGAACAAAATAAGAAAGCATTAAAATCATAAATAATCACAGAACATTAAAAAGAAAGATAAAAATATAAAATCCCTCAGTTGTATGCACAGCTAAACAGAACTGTCTTTAACCTGGTTTTAAACATTGTCATTAAGGAGGCCTGTCTCACATCTTCAGGAAGACTGTTCCAGATTTTAGCAGCATGAATCTGAAAAGCAGCCTCCCCATGTTTAGCACTAACAGGAGTCCAGTCCCTGTGCTCCTCAGAGTCCGGGCTGGTTCGTATGGGACTAACATGTCACTAATATATTTTGGACCGAGGCCATGGAGAGACTTGTACACAAGCAGAGCTCACATGCCAGTTTGTTTACAACAGCGGCCGCCTGGCGCTGGCCTATACGTCGCAGGATAAGACGCACTACGTTGACAGAAATGTTTAAATTGAATATTACTTATGCACAATTTTACAGCATTTAAAAATGTTAAGAACGTTTTTCCTTCTACAGAAGGAAAAAGACGCATGCGCCTCCGGAGCCGCAGGTTGCCGACTCCTAGTTTATACAGTATGTGGAAGCAAATACTGTAGAGGATCAGGATATGTGCAGTTTCAACAATAAAATAAAATGCAATAGTCTACATTAAAGAGAGTAATGAACATGTCTCAGAGTGAGGGAGGTGGACATAGACAATACTATTGTATGTTACAGGGATGAGAATTGGTCAAAAAAGACTGAAATGCATATTGTCAGCCATTTGCTGGCTCTAAATCTGTTTAATTTGTTCACAACATATTACTTTTGGGCTCAAACATGAACTTTTAATGCAATGCAAAATTTAGGTATCAGAGCTTTATTTAGGGTGTTTAATCGCACTTCGAGAGGATTCAGATTCAGATCAGATTCATTTATTTGCCATTTGCAGTAAAACCACATTGGAAAAACTGTGCAAGACTACCCCGGTGTGCACCAGACAGAGAAGACGACACACACCAGAGCTCTTGCCACGGCGCCATCTTTACGGCGCCATGCGACAAACAGTGGCAAATCCAAGCCGGGTCAGAGAGTTCAAGCCTGACACACGATGTCATTCAATCTCAACTCCAGAGTTTTATTCCCTTCGAGTGAACGAGCTGCGAGGTCTTTTATCAACTGTTCCACCAAAACCACTCTCCTTTGTCCAGACACGGCACTCTCAACCACGACGCGGCTAAGCTCCTTGTACATCGCATCAATTTTGTCGGCCAGCAGGTCGTGAATCTCGCGAACTGCCATGCCTCCGAATTTGCGATAGAAGAGAACCGCTCCAAACCCAAACAGGAGGATCCCCACCACCAAAATGCCAAAGATATATACGTCTTCCGAATCTTCAATGGACAGGTCGACAGACAGAGGGGCTGAAACTTGTTCCAGCTGTCAAGAGTATACCCCGCAGGTGAAGTCTCTCCAGACCCTCGCTTACGTGTTGAAAAGATAGAATCAATTGCGTTGAGGGACCAGTTAATCATTTCCATTCTTGTTAAAGTTGTCTGTGGTAAAACTCCAGGAAAAAGACAAAAACAGGAGATAGCAAGCAGTCAGAAGCAGGAGCGGTCTGAGACACGTCTTTGCTCGACGGAGGCGGAAGAAGAAGCCGCCGGAGAGGGGAGACGCGGACTGTTTCCTGGAGCAGTGCATTTATTGGGTGCACAGATTACTCAAAGACACGCATGGTCCTGTGCGCGTTTATGGGGTTGGGTACATGGCCACGTTGAGGCTGCGCGCTCAGCCACAACACGGTGGAGCGGCTGCGAGCGGCTCACAGCCTCTCGCAGCCGCTGGACGCGGAAGCTGCTCATTACATAGCGCCCGCAGATGCCCCGGAACACTGCGGCCGCTGAGGTGGCGGAATCCAGTTCGAGTACATACAGCAGGTGCCCCGCGGATACGCGCGCCCCGCTCCAACAATTCTCAACGGATTTACACTTCTCATAAACATGTGTTTTGTATGAGGCAGAGAGACCAGCCCAAATATGGGCATCGGCCCTTTGGGCATTGCCCGGTACGCCCGATGGCCAGTCCAGCCCTGTTCGCTGGCATCCTTGAGCTTGGACTACAAATTAAGTGATGCACAGTAGAGGAGGGCTGGGCCAAAGTGTTTTGTTTGACGCCCAAGCCCTTATATAGCAGTCTCGCTGCAAATACTGTGACGTAATAATTCTAAACACGTAATAGAGAATGGCAAAATCAGAACGGGTTGAAAAATCTTACCTAAACAGAATATGAAGTGTTCTCTGCAACCCATGAAGAGACTGATTTCAATTTCTTTGCACTTCTAGAGGCTCCAACTACACAACATAAGGCATTTAAGGCACAAAAAGTGGATTTTTCAGGATATGTTTATTGTATTTAAATAAAATAACGACCCAAACAATAATCTTTTAGAAAAAATTTAGAAACCCGTGTCATAACAGAAAACTGTCAACATCGCAAACCACACACACCAAAATGGGAGCGTTAAAACAATAGGAGGCACATTGCTGTAGTTTTAGCCTGGCCTTAGCCATCCGTACAGTCCACTCAATTATACTTTCCCTGCATGTAACGTCTGGGTCTAGTCCATAGACTGTATATATTAACGGACAGAGTCACGCCTATCTCCGCCGTTCAAAGGAATTGGCCATGAAAAGTGCTTTCATGGAGCAATCCAAGATGGCCGCGAGTGGTCCCGCCCACAAGAAAATTGTGAAAAAACGCATCTGCGCATGCGTCACCCGGTGTAACGCCGAGATACACTGCCTTGAAGAGATGCACTGCCTCAGCGGTTTATGATGTAATGCAAACCTGCGCATGCGCGTCTCACGGCAGCTGAAGCAAACCAAGATGGCGGACCGTGAATTTCTTTAAAAGTTAAAATACGAACGAATTAAGACACGAATGTCACTTTTAATGCAATTTGAGGCGAGATGTTGATGGTTCCGTTTTGTCACATGTGGGTTTTAAGAGTCAAAGTCACTTTCGTGCAAAGTTTAGTTTAAGCAGTCAACTGCGCCTGTGAAACCACAAAGCTAATGTTTTCATAGCAGCCTCCGCGGCTGCTGACGTAGGCTGATGACGCGTCCTGTGGCAACTCTACAGCTTACAACTGGTCTGTCGGGTTGATAATGGAAAAGGGGGAAAAACATCGATCTAATTAAATATTTTGTTTGAACACACTATTGTTAATCATATTAAATGCAGTACGATACATGTATTAAATTAAATTTATTATTTCCATTATCAATTTGTCTAAAATGTAGATCAATTTAGTCATCGTCTTCGTCACAATGAATTACTTTATTATTTTAGTCATTGCTTAGTTTCCGTCCCCGTTCTTCATTTATCTTCATGATAGTATCATACTAGAGGTTTATTATCAGGACCCAGGCTGTTGTACAGTGTAGACAAAGATGATTAATATGATTATCAATTAGGTTGTGTCCAAGTTGATTCCGGACGCTTTTCTCGGTCCCTGTCTACCGTTGTATGAAATCAAGGTGCTCTGGACGTCATTTTGATGATATTGACAAAATACAAATAACTCAAAACATGCACAATAAGCTCTCAAAAAAACAGCTTTATAGTTATAAACTTTTATACTTTTTTTTAATAACTTTCATATTTGCTCTTGGACAATCATCCATTGTCTTTCTTCTTGTGAACACTGCTATTGGCAGACCACTATTTTTGAAACCCTTTGAGACAACTCCTCTTATGATTTTGGGCTGTACGAAAATACATTGATTTATATATTTGCCATCTCATAATAAAACTCCTCACATGGACATTCTCATTCAAACATAGATCATGTGCGGTTAACTGTGTCTGTGAATAGGCCATAAGTAAACATCAATATTGCACTTCAACAAGGCTTTTATAGAGCACGGCTAAATGTGCTGTTTCGTTTTATATATAGTGTGTACTTGGGGCTGTGGTGGCGCAGGCTTCCCCTCTCCGCGGCTGCTGTTGTTGGCAGCGGTGTGACGGCAGCAGAATGGATGTGATTCTGCACGGTCTCAGAGGGGACTCCCCAGCGCCGCACACACAGAAGCCCTGTTCATCTGTCTGTGTGTCAGACTGAAGCAGACTTAAAGAGCCCGAGCTGCCTATTTACTGTCAGAAATACAGTTAGTTAAAGCGGAGGTACCTAATTTTCAAACCAAGTAACATGAACTATGTAATAAAATACATCTAATTAGGTAGTTTGGTTTGGTTCTATATGGGGCGACAGTAGCTCAGTTGGTAGAGCATTGGCCTTAAGGCCAGAAGGTCGTGGGTTCCCACCTCTGCACCTTCTCCACCGACTCCCACTGATGACTGCTGTCGTTGTGTCCTTGGGCAAGACACTTAACCCCACTTTGCCCAAAAGCTATGCTCACACTCAGAGCAGCCATCCTCCTGTGGACTCACCACCTGCAGAGGATATGTGAGGGGCTGGTGCTATGAGACTTGGGTGGCATCTCTGATTGCCACCCCCCTGACCCAGAAATGGATTAAAGGGCAGAAAATGGATGGATGGATGGATGGATGGTTTGGTTCTATCACTAGTTTTCACTTGGATGTATTTTTGGCATTTGTCACACCTTAAGACAAAAGAAAACTAGGGCTGTCAAATGATTAAAAATGTTTAGTTGATTAATTGCACAGAAATGTGAGTTAACTCACGATTAATTGCATTTTTAACATTCTATTTCAAATCCACTCCAATTGAAGTTAAATGAGATTATCAAATGTAATGACACATTGTCATTCATACCAAATATACTCAAATCTTTGCTCTCAACCTTTTGCTTTTGGGCACAACCAAAATGAGCTAGGGGGAAATGTACGTACCCCAGCTTTAATTCAGCGAGTTTAGTTTAGTTTAGTTTCAGGAGGAGACACGGACACTTTCACGGTGTATTTGCGTGCATAGGTTACGCACAGCTGCAAAGACACAAACACAACATGCAGACAATAGTTCTGTGGCGTGTATGGTATTATATGACCATGTTACCGCGGCGCCATTCGCTCACAGCCGTGTTGTTGTTAGCGGATCACAACCAGAGCTGCCGCGGAGGAGGCGGACTTCAGTTCACAGCAAACAACAGCCCCGCAGTCATGCGCATATTCTTTTAAAACCTGAATTCCCAGAAGGCCTACCTGCTCTGATGCCATCTCACATGCAATATTCTGAGTGATATTATGGATAAATGGGCAGGTCATTCGGACTTGCGTTAATGCGTTAAAAAAAAAATTACGCGTTAATGAAAAATGTTATTAACGTGAGTTAACGCGGTAATTTTGACAGCCCTAAAGAAAACATATATTTCTTATATTTTACATACTTTGGAGACTATTTCACACTTTGGTCAGAGAGCTGTTTGCATGAGTGAGGGATGTAAAAAGAAGTGAGCGAACCGAGCTATAAAATGGTGTGTCGACCCGGGACAAAAGTGTGAAAGGTTGGAGTGATGTTAGGACCCGTGTCATCTTTTCACCACAGGGAAGATGGGAATGTGTAAAGTAAAAGCAGCAAAGCAAAATTCCAACTTACAAAAGAGGAAATCAGATCATAATGTACTACAGCAATAATCATACACATGGAGCAAAAAAGTATATTTTCAAGAACAACTGAACACGAATGAAAGAGCAGCAATAGCCACTATATTTGGTACACACTGTGTCCACACTGAGGGCCTCGGCAAAGAGGCTACTTTGCAATGTTGTAAGTGTGCACACGCTGGTATCATTGTGCAAGCGTTTGTTTAATTGTGTGCCTGATGTAAATGTGCACGTGCTGGTTAAATTGTGTGTGTTGTCGTAATTGTGCGTGCGCTGATAAAATCTTGTGTGTGTTGTAATTGTTGCAGATGCTAGTTTAGTTGTGCATGCGCTGGATTAATTGTATTTATATTTTAATTGTGTGTGCGCTGGTATAATCATCTGTGTGTTTTTGTAATTGTGCACATCCTGGTTTAATTGTGCCTGTGTTGAAATTGTGCGTGTGTTATAATTGTGCGCCCGCTGGTATAACTGTGTGCATCTTGTGCCGCAGGTTCCGCCCCAGCGACAACTATGTGTACGTGCGCGGCCGTGGTCGAGGCAGGTTCATGTGCGCAGAGTGTGGGATCCGCTGTAAGAAGCCCAGCATGCTGAAGAAACACATCCGCACACATTCAGACCTGCGGCCCTACATCTGCAAGTACTGCAACTTCGCCTTCAAGACCAAAGGTAAGACCGGCCCCAGGCTTCTCAAGACGGAAGGATGGAAATGTATGTAGCACATTTCAATCCTGAGCTGTAGCTCATTGTGCTTAACAAAAACAATGCAACTAAATTAATCATGTTTAGTTTAGACATTTAGTCTTCTCCCAAATGAGCTCAGCGTAGGGGCACCACACTGAGCTCATTTAGAAGGAGCATCAGAGGGGAAAGCTGCTTCTCCTACTCCCAGTTTTACACAAGGTTAGAGGAACTGATAAGGCATAGTGAGAAAAATATAAAGGAGTTAGACTGGGGGGTACATAGAGAGATAGAGAGATACAGAAGTACATACATTCTGAACATTTTTAACAAACTACCTAACAATAGTGCATGTTTTAATATATATTAGGGCTGTCAAAATGATTGCGTTAATGCACGCTAATAACAAAATTTCATTGATCGCGTTAAAAATAATTAACGCATTGATGCATGTACGGAATGACCCGCCAAGAGATGGCGACAAAGCAGGACGGTTTTCTGGGAATTCAAGTTTTAAAAGAAAACACGCGTGACTGCGGGGCACTTGCTGTTGTTTGCTGTATATACTGAACAGGGTTTTGACACGGCAAACGGTGACAACATAATGTCAGGCGCACAGGACTAATCTCTGCTTGTTGTGTGCGTGTCTTTGCGTAACCAGTGCGCAAACTGCATGCAAAAAAATACAGCTCTGAAGCTGGACTACAGAGCCTCAGTCTCCTCCGTGTCTGCTCCCGAAGCGCACTCGCTAAATTAAAGCTGGGTTACCTAATTTTTGCCTTGCACTACCAGTTTATGTTGGTTCTGCCGAAAAGTAAAATGTTGTGAGCAAATAAAACAGATTTAATGACATTCTGCATTTCAGACATTTTTTGTAAATGTCCTTCATCCCTGTAACAAACAATAGTTTTGGTCTGAGTCTACTACAGAAAGACAGAATGTTAACAATGTTAATGCCATTTTCATGTGGATTTACTAGGCCCGAGCCCCGAACGGGGAAAGGGTCTATTGTTTTTGCTCGAGAGAAGTCAAATTCTGACATCTCTGGGCGTAGTGTGGAGCGGCGTGGTGCGGTGTGGCGAGGGCCGTTCGACGCCGCTTGCGGCTTTAATTGTTGTTATAATTAGCAAATACAGTACATATGTACACTATGTTGTCATATATCTTTCCATTCAAACAACCATTTACATATGGCATAATTTTGCCGATAGTTAGAAATGTGATTAATTACAATTGATACATTTTTAAGCTGTAAATATAGTGTAGAGTATATAGGAATAATATTACTGTCTACTGGAACATAGAAAACAATCAAAGGGGACACCACCAGCTCTAACTGATAAAAAAATGAAACTGCATCCATTAACAATGCAAAGTCATTCTGATCAAAGCGTATAATATAAAAAAGCTAGAGTTATAATCTGGAGTGAAGTTGTGTATGCACGTCCGCAGTATCAATGTAAACTGCATTCACATTTGATGAAAGACATAGAATAGGATCCTTCTATTTAGCAAACTAAATTTTTAGAAAACAATTTTCTCCTTCCGATTCAGTTTCAATCTACTTTCTGGCAGCCCCGGACGTTAATGTAGTTTCCTTGTTCGTTGCAGGGAACCTCACCAAACACATGAAGTCCAAGGCTCATGGGAAAAAGTGTCAGTCCGTGGGAGTGCATGAGTCATCGCTGGACGAGGAGAGCGAGGAAACGGGTACAAGCTCCACTTTCTGTTAGATGCTGTTCTTTTCTCATTCAGCTCACTAGAATGTTCACTTGTCCACAATAATTTGATTGTACTTTTACTCATACCTTAGCACAAAAAATTTGGAACAGTAATTCTAAATATACAGTAAGTGCACTCATAAAAACTGTTTAACACTTTCGGCAATTGTAATCACATTTGCTATGCATACCTGAAGTATCTTTTTTTCACACAAGCTCAAGTCATTTTATTTCCGCAGCACAATTCAATGCACTGTGTTTCTTGGTATTTCCTGCTACGTAACAAAACCAATGAAACACTGAGTTGAGTGATCCATATATACTCACATATTTTGGCACGGGTTTAAATCGCAGAGCACAAAGTGCTTTTGCCGTCCCAAATACTTTTACAAAGTCATTTTTGTCAGCGAAGGAGTATGCACTTTTCCCTGACTCTCTGTCAAAGGGGTGGGGTTAAGGGACACAAGAGGAATGAAGGAGGATTACGGCAACTTGTTTCTTTTATAACATTGTTTTTGCTCAATCTAAACATTTCATATGAACCACATATTTAGAGCCACAGGGTCATAGATTATCAGATATTCAGAGAACAGAAACCTGTTATGTCCACTTTTAATGATAATTGGGTGTCTTCAATTAATCTTTCTCTAAACAAGAAACTTCTGGCACTCCCCTTCTGTTTAAATGCTCTGGTTCAATTTTGGGAATTTCTCAACTCAAATTGCAGTCTTTAAAACTGCCACGATATATATATTATTTTACTGTGTATAACTTCTAGTCATTAAACATTATCAAGATCATATGTAGGGGACAAAATTAACATAATGATTTTTTTGTTCTTATAAGACAACAGCAGACATCCATAAGGACATGGATGAGACTTAAACAAATTAGATTCAAGCGACATTTCTATCACTAATGTTTTTGCATAGGTGTAATATTGTCTTGCCGTGTGAATGCAGTGAGATTTGAGAGCTTTTACCGTTCCCTTCTGTCGAAAATTTGATCTTTCATTGATCGAGAATGTCTTTGTCCAATTCCAGCTTCTGTGCTGTGGAGAAACATTGCTACGGCTGGCTGAACGTGTGCCTGTTAAAAACTGCAGTCCTGACAGCTTATGCAACACCATGTACTACCCCCTCCCTTTGGTCTTGAGTTTTAACTATGGATAAAAATACAATAAATAAATGAAGAATGGGGAGAATTCAGCAGCCACCAGGCTTCTGCAGTGGATGTCTTTATAAAATCTTACTTCTGTTCCCTCTGTCTGCTGCTGGTGGACTGCAGTGCCAAGGACTTGTCGAGGTGCCATTCACAAAGCTGCAGAGAGTTTTTGAATAGAGCACAATTGAATGCAATTCAATGTGTTTACAGTATCTTCATTTAAGCTAGCCATCAGAGACTCCTGCTTTTACCATTCCATTATTATTCACCTTTTGTCCACTGTATTGTACTGTCCACTGTACTGTAATGTATTTAAGATGATCTAATGTGCAATTTAACCAGCTGCATGTCTGTTTTTTCTTCTATAAAAATAAACTTGTAGCTTGGATTAGTTCAGGTCACACTAACATCTGGAATTGTGCTGATTTTCATCACAGCCGCTACACACTCTGCTTAATTAGTCTGCATGTTCAAAGTCCTAACTCCTGATCAAGCCAACAAGACAATGTCTGCAATTGGCGGAGAAGTACTCAAATTGGAACCCCCCAGTCCATGGTTGCAGATCAGAATTACTGGCCATAAAAACAGGATAAAGCATACATAATGCAATATAACGCATGACAAAGGGACGGGCCAATGCACTGAGAACTCGTCTTACTTCTGGCATGGCACTCCTCTCTGGGCCCAAGTGGACGCGTGTTTGTTTTGAACAAAATAATTAGCACAGACACCATTCTGGTTCAGATCAATGGAGTGTTCTTCACAGTTATGTTGCTGCCCCCTACTGGCCGGGCGCTAGAACTACATCGTTTTCAGTCACAGAGTAGAGTCTTTGAATCTGGAGCGGGTTCGTTTTTGAGACCACCATGGTTCTCACAATTGGGGGAGTTCGTTGCACCAAACTAATCCTCCACTGTGGAAAGATGGCAATTCAGGGGGGAGAAAAACAATTTATGAATGTCGATAGGTTCCTTAATGTGTTATTGATTTGTTTTTATGCTGTTTGATGTGTGCAACCTGTGACCTGCAACTTCGTTTTTTTTTTCTGGAGTAATGTAACGGTGACATTTAAATTTACCCACTGAGGGATGAATAAAGGTTTATCTTATCTTATCTTTTCAGGGGGCAGCGAGGAGCCGGCACCAGACGAGGAGCACCAGTTTTCAGACGTGGACGATTCTGAGGACGACGAAGATGAAGACGAGGAGTCCACCGCACACGACGACACACCTTCCTCTTGTTCATCGGACACACAGCCCACCACTTGCTCCCAGGGAACCCCAGACCGCGAGCTCCCAGGCCCCAGTGTGAGTCAAGGCACCCCAGACCGAGAGCTCACCGGCCCCAGTGTGAGTCAGCCCCCATCTCCGCGGGGACGCTGGTCTCTGGGTCGACGCGCTTCTTCTCCTGGCAGCAGGAGGGCGCTTTTCTCTCGTCAGGGCATCAGAGCTGCCAGAGCATTGTCCCAAAGCAGTGAGAGCTGTTCCCCCAGCCGCAGCCTGTCCCCCCGCCTGGAGTTGTCCCCCGTGCTGCTCAGTCTCTCTCCCCGAACTGAGCTATCGTCCCCTGAGCGAGGAGAGTCTCCAATCAGGCCCATGTCCCCTCAGGTTTCGGGGCTCCATCGGTCGCCGCGGGTTCCCACTCCTCCATCTCCGCTCCGTCTGCCTCGGAGGGTCCCTGGAGCACTGCCCTGGGAAAGTCCTGCTGGAGGAGGGGCGCAGGGCAAAGAGGTGAGGAGAAAACATCTGGATCAAGATGTAGATTTACGAAGATTTACAGTTGTGCATGAAAGTTTACCCCCCCTGAGTGAGATTTCATTATTTTGATCATGTTTTGGAGATACACATACACTTCTTTAAAATCTCAATTTATTGTTAAAGGTTGTATGAAGCTATATATTAGCTGTGTAAAACTATGACATCATTGAGCCAACCTGTGGAGAGCAAGCCCCTGCCATCCAAGATGGCGCCGTATTCAAATGAATTGATATTTAACATTTAACCTGGAACTCGCAAAGATCTATAGGAAACTCACAAAGATCCATGGGAAACTCGCCTGTATTTGATCATTGTCTGGTCCTCCCGGTTCTGCGCAGTGGATTATCTCCCATGATGCGTTGCGCCAAATACGCGTGTGCACTAGACGCACATTCTCTAAATTTCAGACGCTAGGGGTGTTCAGACGGTCAGCACTAGATCATATACGGAATCGGGGCGGAAGCGTAAGTAAATATAGCAAAATACCTATTCATGCCTAAACTTAACCAGCCATTCCCATAAAATAACCCCAACCCACCCTTAACCCTAACCTTAACTATCTTACTCAGACGCCTAAAACTTAACCAGTCACCACTTAAGGACTTTTTAGTCTAAAACTAATTCGAAAGTAGGATTGTTACTTCCGTATATGATCTAGTGCCGACCGTGTTCAGACCAGAAGTCCTGACCTGCGGTGGCACCCGCCACTTGGCTTTGATGCTTACGGAGCTTTTTCTGTAAAGTTCTTCTCCAAGAATGCAGCACTGCAGCGTCTCTGTGTCCAGAGACCTTCCAGGGACTTTATATAACAAAAGTATGTGTTCACGGAGGTGCGGCATAAGTTTATTTTATTATTAAATGGTAATTCTGCATCGGCGAACACACTATAGCTGCACTAGTTTAGTCACTACTAGAGAAGGAGAACTCAGGATGGCATATGTTCACAAGCACTGTATCCCCCATTACCAATCCTGGTTTAGTCCTGGTTTAGCTCCTGTTTTGGCTGTATTTTGTATTTTTGAGTATTTTCAGAGATGAGGAAAACAAACAAGCATGCAAATGGCATTTATCGCGGCCAGAAAAATTATCGAGCTAAATTTAATTATCATACGTTTAATTGATTTATTGAATATCGCGACAGGCCTAAGTGATATATTATCAACGTAGATGTTTAGGTATGTGCTAATGTGTGGTATGGTGTGAGTCTGCAAAGGAGTCTCAGTTGGACAGGACTGCGGCTGTAGATCCTATACTGGGTTCAAGTCTGTTAAAGATAGGGATTTCCTGTTCCGATATTGATCTATTGAGCATTTGTCTGGTGCTGGGAAATATCTAACTTGATGAAAAGATGCCTTCCACTCTCAAAAACGTTATATTGCCCTTTAATCTGTGCCTGCACACAGCAAAAATAAATGAATTCAATTGGAATTAACTTCAGCATTGCATAATTGTACAGATAATAATAAAAAAATGTAGCTTGAAAAAAACATGGTTAAATCCATAGTGTAGAGAGAGGGAAGAGACAGGGCACTCAGGCAGGGTTAGGGGTTTGGTGGTCTTAACGTGACATTCTTACTCCATCTGCAGGATAAATGCGGCATTGCGGGGGAAGCAGACAGCAGCTCATCTGTGGCCTTCCTCCGCCTCTCTCCGTGCGAGCTCTACCCCCCTTCGCAATCCGTGGACCCCCTCTTCAGCCACTTGCCTCTGCACTCCCAGCACACACGCCTGCCCTGTGTCATGATTCCCATCGGAGGCATCCAGATGGTGCAGGCCAGACCACGAGCCCGCACCTCCACCGGCACCCCGTCGTCCCCCACCTCCCCTCCCGTGGAAGGCTGCTCACGGCTCAGCTTTGACTCGCCATACTGGGGGGGCATGGGGGCGGCCAGAACTTCGGGGTTCAGGGCGTCTTCAGGCCGGTCCTTTGAGCAAACTCACGGAGAGAGGACCGAGCCGAAGCGATACGCTGTCCGGACTCAAGCCGCGTCTGTAGCCGAATGCTCACAAGGGCGCAGTGAGGAGCCTTCACCAGGGGGCGTTGTAGAGAAAGGAGCAGAGCACTCAGACCACAGCACTTAACTATCAGCACCAACACATGGGCTGCACTGTCAATTGTCGGGATCCTCTGTGTCTCGGGTCATATCAAAAAGTACCAAATATCAGTTCTATAATGCTGGAGTATCTAACTTTTTGTTCATAAATAATGCATGTCGTTTAGACTAAAAGAAAGAGTCTTGTAGAAGTACAGTGTTATAAGAAAATCAAACCACAATAGTCTTCATCTTATAAGAGAACATTTTATCTTTTGCACACTTTCTGTCTGAAAATCCTTATCTAAAGATGTGACAGAAAAAGTTAGGTACTCCAGCTTTAAGAACAATGTGAAGCATTATTCGCCCTCTTTTTGTTCCCCAAACATGATCTTGGGAATATTTATTTGGCATGTTGTATTTTAGAATGTGACATAAGTACAGTATGTATAACGGACACAAAAACCCCTAGAGGGAGAATGACTCCCATCTGGTGGAAGAAATTACGTTCTGATAGATTTAGATCTTATTCTAACATGCGACTGAAGCATAATATCCAAGGAAGTAGTTTGAAAACGGAGCACTTAGACAGATGGGGTGGGGTGGACGTGTTTGTGTCACAAGTTCTAGACAGTGGATGGAGCCAAAAATATAAGAGAATATTTAGATATACCACAGTGGGGAGATGTGATATAACTTGATGATATCAATCTTTTTAGGCTGATGATGAATCCTTAAACAAAGCTGTTGCTGTAAATAAGTCTTTATCGATACAGTGCATTTCACAGACCAAGGTCGCACAAAGCGCTTTACAATGTTGTTGTATTTTGCACACACTTGGCACATCAAAGCTTCCAACCATCACCACTCATTACAGTCAGACCCAAAAGTTTTGCCTCAAAATTAGTTATGGTGTTTTTTCCAGTAAAATTATGTTCTTTACAACTTTGTCAGTTTCTATGAGCCATGTTAGATTTAGGTCTACATTTAACAGAATGTAGTTTCCCACATCTACCACGAGATGGAAGTGTTGCTCATACTAATCCCCTCATCAGCACAGTGGCTGAGTGGGGAGCACTCCAGCTGTGTGGAATGTAAAAAGTTCTAAAGTTTCACTTCTGTCTTATTAGAAGAACCTTCAAAGCCTTACATTTTTTGCTGTGCCTGGGTGGATTTCCTCCAGGTGCGCTGGCTCCCCACCCAAAGCATGCACTGTAAACACATGTAATTTAGTCTAATCTAAAATATGAACCCAACACATAATTCAATTACAATCATGTAGCTGAGACTCAGTTTTGGTTCAGTACAATCAAATAATAACTGAACTAGTTTTGTCCAGAATAATGTACATTAAAATGATGAAAAATAAAACAAATAGCCTCAGATGGGAAAAAATTGCTTTTTTTAGTGAATAAACTTTCACTAAGAAAATCCCAATAATACTTTTGGCACCCAGCCAGCAATTTAATCAAATGTGGCCCAGGAACAAAGTGAGCTTGACACCCCTGCAGTGGCATTGAAGGATGGGTCAAATGCAGAAGAAACATTTCCCTATGGAGACAATAAACATATTGTCATATTTTCATGTTTTTTTATATTTCAAATCTGCTATATTAACTAGTACTAATTACTAGTTAAGTACTTTGACCTTTACCCCGATCCTCATAGTAATATATCCCTTATCATTTCTACTTGGGATTTTACTTAATGTTCTAAAACATGAAATTGCTTAGTAAATACTATCAAGATCAATAAGTGGACTTTTAGTGACTGTTTTGCGGAAGAAGGATCTGGGCATTTGACCGTGGCCCATGTGTCACTCACTCTAGCTTTACAAACTGCTCCACTTTTCCTATCATTGCTTTATCTGCTGTCTGTTTCTCATTTAAAATGTTTTTATTCCTTTGGCAATATTCAGGTTTGTGGGCAAATAGCACTTTTTTTATTTGTGAAATGCATATACTTATAAATTCTATATAATATCCCTCTTGTGTGGATACAGTCTGTTTGGAAATGTTTTGAAATATAGAGTGTAATGTTTGTAAATGACCAAAAACTTTACTATGAATAATTCCATTTTTTTGTCATCACAGTATTACTCCAGTTGTAGTTTCTTGTGCCTTTTTTGTCTGGGTTTATGTATTGAAACAAAAAGGAGGCTGTGAAATTTTCTATCACATGATATTAATATGATTGGGGTTTTGCCTATGCTTTATCTGAGGTGCACGCTGCAGCTCTCCTGGTGCAGGGCCACTCTGTGCTTATGTCCATCTGATGTTTTCTTTGACTCATTCAAAAAGGAATTCTGTGTAATCGAGCCAAATTCAAAGTTTTTAAAGTGATGCCAGTCTTTCAAATGTATTCTTTTGTTAAAAGAATTCATACTTTTGACTACGTGAGCTACTATTAGGTTACATGTTTTAAGTGTGACTTTGTCAAAAAATAATGTATGTATTGGCTCAGCTCAACTGATCCATTATCTTCCAGGGGAATCGTGTGGCGGCAGCTGAGAGACAAAGTACCTTAAAAACGTTATTGTCTGTGTCCTGTGTAGTGGTGACAGAAATGTGTCTTCTAATGACACATTTCAAGAAAGGAGATTATGATGAATACATTTATATATAAATATATTCAATTAACTCAACTTCTCTCAGGTCCTGAGAGATTGTCCCAGCAGCTTCTGAATCAGACTCCTCTTCTCATTGTAGCCTGATGTCTTCACAGCTCTGATGTTTTGAAGACGACAGAGCTTTCACACACACACACCACTTAATGAAAAAAGTTTATTATGCCTTAATCATTTACACCTCTTCTGTGTCTTCCATCTTGTCTTTTAGGTCCTTCCCCAAAGCTCATCACCACAGGTGAGGGTGGGAATGTAGGCTAAGCTGTAAATACAGATCTTTGACTGCAGACACTGCTCCATCTTCATAATAAACAGTCTGAAACTGGAGCTGATGCACAGCATTAGTTTTATGAAATCCATTAGATTGAACTAAATCCTGACGGTGACCCGGACCAGCTCCAAAACCACCCCTGAACATTGTGTAAAAAATCAAAAACAGACAAACTGACCTTGTTGATCACATTACCCCTGGTACAGGTAGTAGATGTATTCTGCCAGCTACATTTAAATATGACGGTGACACACAGTTTGTTATGGAACATTGGAGTGTAGAGCTGCAGGTTTATGAGCAGTCAAATAATGTAGGTGTTTTATATCACACTGAGGACATTCCAAACTAAGCAACAACATCCCCATGGACAATAACAGGTTACAGCCCTAATCATCAGAGCTGCACAGTGCTCCTTTTAATGCCAGGGTGTCTACACAGAGCAGCGAGACAATGGAAATGCACTGAAGTTATTTTTGTATTCTGATGATCTTCAATGCTCCTTATTTATTGATGAAGTGTGCATAATTTTGACTTTTTTACTTTGAGTTATTTTGTTATGTGTTTTTCATCATGTTATTGTTGTGACTTGAATTGGTTACAAAATGAGGGACGGTACAGAGGGAACAAGTGCCCTGCGGATTTCACACTCAGCAGAATTTATAATGAAGTGGAAATAAAAATGCACTACACACCAATGAGACTGAGGCCCTACTTTACTTTGCATAATGTGTGGTTAAAGCTGCAGTACCTAATTTTCAAATTGAAAAAATAGCTATATCTATAGCTTCAATTTGCAAGACGTGAATAAAGAACCTTCTGTGGGGCAAGACCAAATAAACGTTGTAGGCGATTTCTAGGCTGTTGCTTATATGGGTCAGAAGAAGGTTATAAAATTACACAGTCATGAGAGACGATACTTGTCACTTGTGTGTAACAAGCCCTGGAGTTGTGTTTGGGTGAGTGAATTTCTTACCGATTGGATTTCCATTATAAAGTTAAAAAAAACGTACGCGGATGATAAGTGCCAATTCTTTTTAATTTAACACGTTGTCTTACCAGGGGCAACAGTAGCTCAGTTGGTAGGGCATTAGCCTTTGGGCCTGAAGGTCGTACGAGACCTACTTCACGACTCAAACTGATGACTGCTGTCGTTGTGTCCTTGGGCAAGGCACCTAACTCCACTTTACCTGAAGCTCCCGTTGGAAGATCAAGGCTCCTGTGGACTCACCACCTGCAGGAGGATCAGTGAGGGGCTGGTGCTCTGTGTACTGGTGCAGCTCTGACTGCCACCCCCCTGACCCAGAAATGGATTAAGTGGAAGAAAAGGGATGGATGGATGGACGTTTCGGTCTTACCCATGGTGAAAAACCAACACGGGTCCAAACAACATGCCGACCTTTCCCATAGTTTCAAAAACACTGATCTGCAGTGCAGGGAAAAGCTAAGAATGTTGTCCATTTCCTGGTTTTGTTTCACTAGTTTTTCAGACAGAAAAGTGATAAAGAGAGGACTCAGCAAATCAGCTCCCGGTCCAAAGCGTGCAATAGTGACTCACAGGGATCACAAACTGCAAATTAAGTTAACAAACTTTTTTTGTCACATACCAATTTCTGTTGAGACCTAAAACATGAATTATTTATCGGGGGGGGGGGCCTTGTAAATAGGTCGCTAAGTGCAGTCTATACAGTAGTGTGACCAATATTTAATCTGTATTATCAAAGCAGCCAATCCATATCACTGTCTTTTTTGCACTTTGTCCCATGACAATGACCAGTAGAATGAGTGTCATGAAAAAAGTCTTTGACCTGTAGGAAATGTTTTCTTCATAATAGTCTGTGATTGAGGTTTTATCAGCTGCTTCTGTTCCGCATAAAACAGGAAGCACATAAAGCAGAGACTGAAGGAGTACGTGATTACTTTGCATAATAGCAATTGTTCAAATAGAGCTATTTTTAGACCAAATATTCAGTAAGACTGTTCCTAGAGTTATTGGAGGGAATAAGAATAACCAGAAAATGTCTCTTTGGATTTCTTTGGAAACGTGTTTGCTGATTTGAGGTTCTAAAATAGATAATTGCAAATGTAAACACGTATTGCTTGCCAACGTAAAGCACTCATAAAAGGACCCAACATAGGTTAACACTCAGCAACA